TGAGACACGGAAGACTGAGAAAGGAGCAGACCGAAAGGTGGCGGGAACTAGGGTTGGTTGGGTTTCTGTCGTATGCAATCAATGGTCCTGACCAGCCTGGGCAACATAGTAAGACCCTGTCTCTGAAAATAAAAAATTAGCCAAGCATGGTGGTACACACGTGCAATCTCAGCTACATGGGAGACTGAGGCAGGTGGATTCTTTGAGCCTTGAGTTAGAGGTTACAGTGAGCTATGATGGCACCACTGCACTCCAACCTGCAGGAGGAACAAAAAAAGTTCCTGATTAAATACTTGCATACCCAGAGAAGGTTTCACAAAGATCTTTGAGGCAGATCTTAATAAACAGGAATTCCATTCTTTCTGTTAGGAAATTAAGAGTGTGGGTCTGGTTAGTTAATGCTGTTTGAACTATCTTTGGAATCTCATCTACTGGTCTATCTTGTCTATTTATATATGTATATTCTATCTGCCATCTCACGGAGCTTTGCCAGTTTATGCTGCAGTAACAAAAGTCCCCAAATCTTAGCAGCTACACATACAAAGGTTGATTTTCATTGACATTTTCTTTTATGGCAGGTTAACTGTGACTCTACTCTAGACAATCTCTTTTATTTGTTAGATGGTGAATGCTGTGATACTTGGAGAACTTATGAATGTGGTTCATTCATTCATTTAACAATTATTTCAACATCTGTTTCATACCAGGCAAGGTCAAGTACTGAGAACACAGTAGTAAATAAGAGACAAGATCTCTAATTTCCAAGAGCTTATATTAAAATGAGATTAAATAAATACAAAATAATCATAATAATGATTATATTCATAAATTAAATAGACAGTAAATATTCTAAGTTAGAAAACTATAAAATTATTAAAACTAAAATGGCCAGGTGTGATGGCTCACACCTGTAATATCAACACTTAGGGATGACAAGGTGGGAGGATCATTTGAGCCCAGGAGTTTCAAACCAGTCTGGGCCCTGCATACAAAAGATACAAAATTAGCCAGGCATGGTGGTGCATGCCTATAGTCCCATCTACTTAAGAAGCCTGAGGTGGGAGGCTGCTTGAGCCTGAGAGGTCAAAGCTGCAGTGAGCCACGATCATAAAACTACACCACTGTACTCCAGCCTCGGCAACAGAGCGAGACCCTGTCTCAAGAAGAAAAAAAAAAAAAAAAGGAGAAGAAACAATTTAATCGATATACTCCTGAAACTATTATGTAGAATCCCATCATCTACATTACATCAGCCATTTACTTTAAGTGGCTTAACAGTTAGATATGATCCATAAAATTTGCCTGGTAATTAAGTATACCTAAGAACAATTAGGTATAAAAGAGGTACTGCCTTGACAGGAAGATTGTAAAAATTTTTAAAGACAAATAAATAAATAAGAGAATAAAACCTGTAGCTCTTTGAGGCACAAATAACATCTAATTGAAGTCACAATGAACATCTAGCAATCATTCTGAACGCCATAGAATTCACTTGATACATTTTGCCTGAACTCCCAACAGATCTCACTTACCAACACCTGTATGTAGCCAACAAATTGACAATCATTTATAAATTACCACCTATGACTCCATCTGCTCTACCCACTTAAAAATTTTCATGTATTTCTTTATTATTTATTATTTTTTGTAGAGATTGGATCTTGCTATGTTGCCCAGATTGGTCCAGAAACAGACCCACACTGATTTCATCAATCAGATGACCATACAGCCACCCAATTCATGAAAAACAATGCAACACAGTACAGAAGGACAAAGATGGTCTTTTCCATACATGGTGCTGGATCAAGTGGTCACATCCATGTAGTAAAAAGTGAATCATGGGTGGGTGGGTTGGCTCGGCTCAAACCTGTAATCCCAGCACTCTGGGCAGCTGAAGACTACTTGAGCCCAAGAGTTTGAGACCAACCTGGAAAAATGGTGAATCCCCATCTCTACAAAGAAAAATACAAACTTAGCCAGGCACGGTAGCACAAGCCTATAGTTTCAAGTACTCAGGAGGCTGATTGGGGAGGATCGCTTGAGCCAGGAGGTGGAGGTTGCAGTGAGCTGAGATTATGCCACCACGCTCCAGCCTGGGTAACAGAGTGAGAGCCTATCTGGGGCGCAGGGGTGGGGGGAGGTAAGCATACACTAAACTAAAATTGCTATGAGATTAAGTGTTCATATTCTTAGGTTAGGCATTAATTAATAGGACACAAAAAGCAGTCCCCAAAAGGAAAAGATTGATCAAGTATAATTTCATTAAAATTAAGAAACTCAGGCTGGGTACACTGGCTCATGCCTGTAATCCCTACACTTTGGGAGGCCGAGGCAGGTGTATCACTTGATCCCAGGGATTCCAGACCAGCCTATGCAACATGTTAAAACCCAACTTCTACTAAAAATACAAAAAAAAGCTAAGCATAATAGTGCTCCCCTGTAGGTCCCAGCTACTTGGGGGCTCAGGCAGGAGGATCACTTGAGCCTTGGGAGGCAAAGGTTGCACTGAGCTGTGACTGTGCCACTGCACTGCAGCCTGAACAACAGAATGAGATCCTGTCTCAAAAAGAAAAAAAAAACTGGAGAATCTCCATTCATGTAAAAACACCATTAAAAGAGTGAAAAGGCATGCTACAGTTTGAAAAATAGAGAAATGTAATACATATAATACATATATATCCTAGAAAGGACACACATCCAGAATTAAGTATTACAAATCAACAGAAAAACAAGCATATCAATGAAAACAGGATACAAAGATTTAAGAGGCACTTCACAAAAGAGGACATATAAATGGCAATAAAAAATACTCAATCTCAATACCAGGAAAATGCAAAATGAAACCACACCGATATATTACTGCACCTCTACTAGAATGGCAAAACGATTTTTAATTGACAAGCATCAGCAAAGATATGGGGTAACCAGAATATTCCCTGCTAAACGGTACAACCACTTTGTGAAAGTGATCAACAGTAACTGATACTAAAGTTTCCTCATTCATATACCTCTAAAACCAACAATGCCACTCCTACAGATATACACCAATCTCGTAATGTTCTATTTCTTGATTTGTGGTGAAATTTCCTTAGTGTAAATTCATTACCTGTATTTTTTTTTTTTTTTTTCGTTTCTTGAGACAGGCTCTCGCTCTGCCATCCAGGCCTGAGTACACTAGCATGATCATGGTTCACTGTAATCTCAACCTCCCAGGCTGTGGTGATCCTCCCATCTCAGCCTGCTGGGTAGCTAGGACTACAGGCACACAACACCACACACAACTGATTTTTGTCTTTTCAGTAGAGACGGGTTTTGCCACATTGCCCAGGCTGGTCTGGAACTCCTGGGCTCAACTGATCTGCTCACCTTGGCCTCCAGAAGTGCTAGGATTACAGGTGTGATCCACAGTCCCGGGACCACCTGCACGTTTAAAACTGTGAGCTTCTTCTGTAGACTTCAGTAAGTTTTCCAAGGTTTCTTTGACACAAAGTTCTCAGATATCTTAAAACTAGCATTTTAGAAGAGAAAAAACGAGCTTCTGGGTCACAGGTGAAATTTTACCAATATAATTTTAAAACAAAAGAACGCTTATCAGCTCAGAACAAAGATTAAAAACTACCAGCAGATTATTTTTCTTTAACTTCCTCAAGCACTGGGAGTCAAAGAAAAGATAGCACTGCAAAAAAAGACTTCTTTTTGAAAGCAGCTTTACCAGCAAAAGACAGAAGGAAAGCATTCCAAAAGTCTCGCTTAACTCTTCTGTGAGAGGATGCCAAACGAGATGATCTGAGAAGCTCCCAAGGCAGACAGACACAGGGAAACCACAGCAACTCTTTGGAGCGCAAACAGCAGCACCACAGTCAGAGCTACTGGAATTCCTGCGGTTAATTTGAGGCTTGCCACGCTAGTCCTGAGGCGATTCAGCGACGGCTACAAATGGTCCCGTAGTGCATCCCGGATCTGGCACACCTGGCTTGCCCACCGCAAGGCTGGAGACAGCGCCAGGTGCGAAATCCCGGAGGCCAATAAAGACCCCAACTTTGCAAATTTGGGGTTTGAGATCTCTCACCCCTCAGGTCCCCAGAGGGAACCCATTTCTGGCCACAAAGGTGAGGCAAAGGGTCAATGTCCTCCACCAGATCTAGGAGGATGTGCCCCCAAAGCTGCTCCATCCCTCCACCCCCTGGGATGCTGCAGGCAGACCAGCCAGCGAGTTTCTTCCCCAGAGCCCAGGAGAGCAGGGCTGCGGCTGGCAGCGGCAGGCGAGGAATCCAACGCAGGGAACTTAAGCGCTCCGGAGGCCCGGCGCGCCCGCCCCGCTGAAACAACAAAAGTTGTGAAGGCCCCCGTCGCGCACATCGACCCAGCTGTACGCCCGGGCTCACCACTCTCCCAGCTTGGAGCAGCGCCCTCACCTGGGAAAAGCTGGGTGGACGTCCCCCTAAACCTGGACTTCCTACTACACCTTTAACTTTCAGTGCAGATCCCGGCCGCTGCTCCGCCCCGCCGCGGCACTCACCTCGGTTTCGCTGCGTGGACGCCCCGGTAAACCTTAACTCAGCGCGCCGCCGGCCCGCGCCACCCATGCGCGGCCCGCGCCTACATCTCCGCCGACCCCGCGGATGCAGCCGTTGCGCCGCAGACCCTCTAGTAGCACCGACCACGTCGAGGGCGTCCCCTACAGGCCGCAGATGCTGCTGACGCAGATCGAACCGCGGACGCCACCAAGGCGCCAACCACGCCTCAGACGCCGCCGTCGCGCCCCCGACGCCACTGACGCCGTCATCGCCTGGGACTCCGCCGAACCGCTGACTGCGCCGCGGATGCCCCCGACGAGCCTACAGTGCCGCAGACACTCCCGAGGCCCCGACCGCGCTGCCGATGCCATCCGCGCCTGGGACGCCGCCGAAGTGCCTCGGACCCCTCTGTCGCGCCGCAGACCCCGCGGACGCCGCTGACGCCATTAGCGCCTGGGACGCTGCCAGTGAAGCTAGTATGAAGGTAAGAGCAAAACCTATCTCTGACTTCGTGTTCCTCTCCCACTAGTATTCTAAGCCTGTTTCATGTAGGAATAAGAGGTGAACAGCTGCTAGAGCTGTGATGATGAAGGTTAAGATGAGGCGGGTGGATCACAAGGTCAAGAGATCGAGACCATCCCGGTCAACATGGTGAAACCCCGTCTCTACTAAAAATACAAAAAATTAGCTGGGCATGGTGGCGCGTGCCTGTAATCCCAGCTGCTCAGGAGGCTGAGGCAGGAGAATTGCCTGAACCCAGGAGGCGGAGGTTGCGGTGAGCCGAGATTTAGCCATTGCACTCCAGCCTGGGTAGCAAGAGCGAAACTCCGTCTCAAAAAAAAAAAAAAAGATGAAAGGGAAAGCGAAAAATTGTGTAAGGGTGGCTTTGTCAACTGAGAATTTGCATCAGATTCATTGTATAAGGTCAGTTCTAATATATGGGATGGCTGACAGTAAATTTGTAATTACTGTAGGACCTCAGAATGATATCTGGCCTCATGGGAGCATGTAGCCTGTGAATATTATCACTATGGTTGTGAGTAGGAGGACAGTGCCAGGATTTCAGGTCTCTAGGAATGCGAATGATCTGTAGTATAAGCTTTGGCCGATTTGTAAGAACAGGCAGATGAAAAATATTGAAGTGCTGTTAGCATGAAGATAGTTGACCATTCAACCACAGTTTACATCTTGGCAGATGTGAGTGACTGAAAGGAAGGCAGTTGAAGTGTCTGATGTGTAGTACATGGCTAAAAATAACCCTGTAATGATCTAGAGGGTTAGGCAGGCACCAAGAAGTGACCCAAAATGTCGTCATGTAGCAATGTTAGATGGTGTGGGAAGGTCATGAATGAGTGATTATTAATTTTTATGGGTGTGTTTTGCAAGCGTTGGTCATTCATGTTCTTGTAATTGAAATACAATGATGATTTTTCATGTCATTAGTTATGGTTATAGTCCATGTAGGACTACAATGGCATATACTAGGTTTTTATTAAGTATTATTTTGGTTGTAGGGTTTGTAGGTTTCTCTTTGAAACTTTCTCCTATGTACGGAGGTCTGGGACTAATTATTAGTGGTACTGTAGGTTGTGGTATTGTGTTGAATTTTGGTGGTTTTTTTTGTGGGGCCGATAATCTTTTTGATTTATTTGGGTGGCATGATGGTTGTTTTTGGCTATATTACGGCGATGGCTACTGAGGAGTATCCTGAAACATTGGCTTCAAAGAGGATATTGTTTGGAAAACTCTGCCTCTACCGTGAAAGCTCTCTCTCTCTCTTCCCCCCCCCCCCCACAAAGAGGCTCTCCTATCTTTACATACCGCCCTGGCCTTCCCGCCGCCGCAGCCACCTCCCGCCACTTCTGCCTTATCAGCACTCCCCAGCTCCCCTCCCGCCGCTTCTGCCTCATCAGCCCTCCCCAGTTTCCCGCCGCCGGGTTTCTGCCTCATCAGCTCTCCCCGGCTTCCCGCCGCCCGGCTTCCCGCCTAGCGGTTCAAACTGGCCAACAGTTGCCCACCACCTCAGCCCCCAACTTTTCCACTCCTCCAGCTCTTCTACCCCTATAAAACAACCCTGCCCCTCTGAGCGGGGTGGCCATTGTTCCTTTTCATCCCGGCTGGCACGCCCGGAGGCTCTTTTCTCTCAATAAAGCCTGAACTTAAGAACTTTCTTCTTGCCTGCAGTCCGGTTTTTTCCGAACGAGCTCAGTCCTCCCGCAGAGGGTAGGTCGGACAAGTGGTGCTGAAAACCCGGGACGGGAGGGGCCGTTGGCCCAGCCATGGCCCCCCTCCCCGACCTACCCAACACTGGCCCTCCCACCATGCTCCGATTAAGGTAAGCCAAGTTTTTTTTTGCTTTGCCTTCCCCCGCTTCCCGTCTCCTCTTCCTATGGCACGGTGCAGTTGCTCCCTCTCCGGCGTTCCGCACGGACTCCTTGCCTAGTCTCGGCCGAGCCAAGGTAGTCTTCCGTTCCAGCTCCAGGAGCCTTCCGAGGGACAGCCGCCAGACAGGGGACGCCCCTCTGACCGCTTCCCTTTCCGTACTTAATTGTACTCCGGGGAATTTGCAGCGAACGGGGACGCCTTTTCGTTGCATCTGCCCTTCCACGCCGGAGAGTCTGTAGCTGCACCTGCCATGGGAAATTCGGAGTCCAAAATACCTCTGAGCACCCCCCTTGGGTGCTTGCTGCGAATTTTACCAAATTGGGATATTCCCAAACCCTCAGAAAGAAAAAGCTTGTCTTCCTGTCTCAGGTGGCTTGGCCCCAATACAAACTCAGTAACCAGTCACATTGGCCCCCGACTGGCACTTTTGATTTCAACACCCTCCGAGATCTCGACGATTTTTGTCGCCGCGCGGGCAAGGACAATGAAATTCCTTACGTCCAGGCTTTTTGGGACCTCCGTACCCACCCCGACCTATGTTCTTCCTGCTCCACCCACCAAATCCTCTTGGCTCGAATCCCCCGTAAATCTTCCTCCACTACCTCTCCCCCTCCCTACTCCTCACCAGAGGATCTGCCTGAACATCTGTCCTCTCCTGCCAATCTCAGCAACCAGTCGCCATCAACGGCACTCTCTTCCTCTGCTCCCTCTGCACCTCCTACCTCAGAGGCCATGCCTCACTCTTCCTCCACTCCCTCCGAGCCCCCTCCCTCAGAGGCTGCACTTCCTCTTGCCTCTCCGGTGGTGGCCCACACCCGCTCTCACCGGCCAGCTATCCTGGCCCCACTCCGAGAAGTAGCAGGCGCGGAAGGTTTAGTCAGGGTCCATGTTCCTTTCTCACTTCAAGACCTGTCCCAAATTGAGAGACGTTTAGGATCCTTCTCAGCCGACCCGTCCACCTATATTAAGGAATTCCAATACCTCACTCAAGCCTACAGCCTCACTTGGCATGATATTCACATTGTCTATTCCTCCACCTTCACAGTGGAGGAGCACGAGCGCATCCTCGCTGCAGCCAGAAACCAAGCAGATAAAGACCATGCTATAGATAACCAGATCCCCCTAGGCCCCAAAGCAATCCCAGATGAAGACCCCCAATGGGACTATCAGGCTAATCGAGGGTCTGATATACCCAAGAGGGACCGCATGATTAGATACCTCCTCAGGGGAATGGATGCTGTATCTAACAAAGTTGTAAACTATGATAAACTGAGAGAAATCACCCAACTACCTGATGAGAATCCCGCCCTCTTTCTCGCCCACTTGCAAGAAGCCCTAGTCCGGTATACTTGGCTAGATCCAGCCTCCCAGAACGGGGCCACTGTATTAGCCTCCCATTTTATCTCCCAATCAGCACCCGACATAAGAAAGAAACTAAAGAAAGCAGAAGAGGGGCCAGAGACTCCCATCCAAGACCTGGTAAAAATGGCCTTTAAAGTATTCAATGCCAGGGAAGATGCGGCTGAGGCTGCCCGCCAAACTCACATGAAGCAGAAGGCTGCCCTCCAGACCCAAGCCCTAGTGGCGGCTCTAAGGCCGGCAGGGAACCAGAAGCCCAAGGCCGAAACCCATGCCCCTCCGGGAGCATGTTTCAAATGTGGAAAGGAAGGACACTGGTCCCGAGCCTGTCCACAACCACGGCCACCAACTAAGCCTTGCCCTGTCTGTCAGCTCCCGGGACACTGGAAGTCAGACTGCCCCAGCTTCCCCAGGGTGCCGGTTCCTCAAAACAGACACACTGGCGTTATGCAGCCGGCGGTCACCCTCGGTAGGGAGGAGCCTGCTTGCCAGGAGCCAACCTCTGAGGGAACTTCATTCCCCAGCCTATTAGGGCTGCTAGATGACTAGCGGGGCCCTGGCTTACCGACTCCGGTTACCCTCGCTGAGCCAAGGGTCAAAATTCAGGTAGCGGGTAAAAGTGTCTCATTCTTGCTCGACACGGAGGCTACCTACTCCGCACTTCCTTCTTATTCTGGCCGTCTCACCCCTTCCCAGGTCTCGGTCATGGGAATCGACGGGACCCCGAGTATCCCCTACCAAACCCCACCACTCATGTGCTCATATAACTCCACTCCCTTCACCCACTCCTTTTTAGTAATCCCCACCTGCCCAGTTCCCCTTCTGGGGCGAGACATCCTTTCAAAGCTGAAGGCCGTCATAACCTTCCCCTCCGCCAACCCACGCAGTCTCTTTCTCCTAGCCCTCACCTCAGACACTGAACCCCAAAAAGCCCTGTCAGAACTACTCCCGGAAGTCCACCCTCAGGTCTGGGACATTAACAACCCGTCTGTAGCTACACACCACCAGCCAGTTCAAGTCCGCCTTAAAGACTCCTTGCCTCATTTTCTCTGCCGCCCCCAATTTCCTATCTCTAAAGCCCACCGTATGGGTATCCAACCCATCATAGAGAAACTAAAAGGTCAAGGCCTCCTAATTCCCATTAACTCCCCATGTAATACCCCCATCCTCCCAGTACGAAAACCCTCAGGACAATATAGACTAGTCCAGGACTTGCGCTTAGTCAATGAAGCTGTAATTCCCATACATCCAGTTGTCCCCAACCCGTACACCATTCTCTCTAACATTCCCCCAGAGACCACCTGTTCTCAGTCTTAGACCTAAAGGATGCCTTCTTTACTATACCTCTACACCCCAACTCCTACTTTATCTTTGCCTTCACTTGGGATGATCCCCTCATGAACATGTCCCAGCAACTGGCCTAGACAGTCCTTCCACAGGGCTTCCGAGATAGCCCGCACCTATTCGGCCAGGCACTCGCCACTGACCTACTTCACTGCAACCTCAAGCCCTCTCACCTCCTCCAGTACATAGATGACCTTCTTATCTGCTCCCCCACCCGCCAGGAGTGCATCCAGGCCACCACCGCCCTACTCAATTTCCTAGGAGATAAGGGATACCGGGTGTCACCAACCAAAGCACAAATAGCCTCACCCACTGTCACCTACCTAGGCATACAGCTCACACCTGGGCAACGGTCCATCACAATCGACCGACTACAAGCCTTAAAGGCACTCCAGGCCCTCGAGTCAGCAAAAGAAATCCTCTCCTTCCTAGGACTGGTAGGTTTTTTCTGCCATTGGGTACCTAATTATGCTTTGCTAGCAAAACCTCTATACCATGCTGCTGCAGAAGCCCCCGAGGGACCACTCTCCTCACCAGGTTCTGTCAACCGGGCATTCAAGTCACTGCTTAGTGCCCTATGTACTTCCACCAGCCTAGCCCTGCCTAATCCCAACTTACCCTTCCAACTATATACAGACGAGAAACAACATACAGCTGTAGGAGTGCTAGTCCAACCAGTAGGAAAGACCCTTCTGCCTATAGCCTACCTGTCTAGACAACTTGACCCAACTGAGCGAGGATGGCAGCCATGTCTTAGAGCCCTAGCTGCAGCCGTCACCCTAACCACAGAAGCTCTTAAGATCAATCTACAACTCCCACTCCAAGTCTTTTCTCCACACAGGTTGACTGAACTGCTCAGTCAACACTCTCTGCCCCACCTCGGGCCCTCCCGTATTCAACTGCTTCACCTACTGTTTATTGAGAACCCCAACATCACTCTTTCTCACTGCTCCTTGTTAAACCCAGCTACCCTCCTCCCTTGCCCTCCGTACTCCAGCCCCCTACATTCCTGTACTGAAATCCTCAAATTAGCCCAGTCTCCTCGTCCCGACTTGCTACCTCAACCCCTACCATCTGCCTCCATTACCCTATTCGTTGATGGCAGCTCTATACCTCATCCCACCGGCCCACGGAGAGCGGCCTATGCTGTAGTAACTCACTCTGAAATTATAGAGACCCGCCCCCTTCCTCTTGGGACCACTTCACAACAGGCTGAATTAGTTGCCCTTACTCGGGCCCTATCCTGGTCCCAGAACAAAGAAATAAATATGTATACTGACTTCAAGTATGCCTTCCTCATAGCTCACTCACACTGAATGATCTGGAAGGAACGAGGCTTCCTCACCACTAAGGGCACGCCCGTTCTCAATGGAAAACTCATTGCTGCTCTTATTCAAGCCGTTCAACTCCCTAGCAAGGTAGCCATCGTCCACTGTAAAGGGCATCAGTCCCTGAACTCACCCATAGCCGCAGGGAATGCCTTTGCAGACAGGGTAGCTAAAGACACAGCAAGAAACCGTCCACCACCCACCTCCACTCTCTGTTTCTTGTCCAAGTCATATAGCCCTCAATACTCTACCTCAGAACTCCAGGCCCTCCAGTCTACCCCCGGGGTACGGTTCAGGGATGACTGGGCCTTCAAGCATAACCTCCTCATCCTCCCCGAAAAGCAAAAGTACCAGATAATCCAAGACATGCACAATTCACTCCACATTGGGCCTAAAGCCCTATACCGGTTCCTCAACCCACTTTTTCACCCTCACCATCTCCTCAGTACCATACAGGAAATCCAGTCCTCATGTACTGTCTGCGCAAAAACTAATTCCCAGGGTTCCTGTCATCCTCGGCGCCAGCTTCATCAGCTACGTGGGTTCCTACCTGGCCAAGACTGGCAAATTGATTTCACCCATATGCCAAAGCACGAACAGTACCGGTATCTGCTAACCATTGTTGACACTTTTTCAGGCTGGATTGAAGCTTACCCCACAGCCTCTGAGTCTGCCGGGACAGTAGCCACTCATCTCATTCAAGACATCATCCCACGCTTTGGACTCCCGGCTACCATACAGTCAGACAACGGCCCAGCCTTTATCTCCAAAGTCATTAATGCCGTTCCTACCTCTCTAGGAATTCAGTGGAAGCTACACGCCGCCTACCATCCTCAGTCCTCTGGTAAGGTGGAACGGGCCAATGGCCTAATAAAGGAGCATCTGACCAAACTCATGCTTGAGCTCCACCAATCCTGGGTAACCTTGCTTCCTATTGCCCTCACCAGGTTGAGAGCAAGCCCCCGGGGCCCATCACAGCTTAGCCTGTTTGAGCTGCTGTACGGTCGCCCCTTCCTACTTTCAACTCCCCCACCACCAGAGACCACTCCTCTAGACAGCTACCTCCCCTACTTTACTCTCCTTCGCAGCCTTCTCCGAGAACACGCCAACACTTCTCTTCCCCAACCCACCAAGCCATCTGAAAATACACAGAAAGTCTCCCCCGGGGACTCAGTTCTTATCAGGACCCTCTCCCCAAAGCCCCTCGCCCCCAAGTGGGAAGGACCATACACAGTCCTCCTTACCACTCCATCAGCTATAAGAGTTGCTGAAATCCCATCTTGGGTCCACCTGTCTCAGGTAAAAAAGGCCCCTCATGGACCCTCCCTATGCTGGAAGGCTGTTCCTACTGGCCTTTTATCTGTCAAACTTACCAGGGCCTAGCAGCCACACCCCCTACAGATGGAGATTTTTCCTAACTGAAAACTATACCAAAACCACCTTCATCTGTAATACCCCCCCATACAGCCACAACCATCTTCTTGCAACTTCTGACTGCCTCGCAGCCGGATGCCAAAGGGCCATATATCTGAACTTCACCAAATTCCACATCATCCATATTAATATACCTCTCATGTGCTTCAACCATGACCAACCATCAGGTGCATGCAATAATACTCCTTGGCGCTCCTGCATGGGATGTACTTGGATGAACTGTCGACTACATATAGCCATCAAGTCCACAGTACCTGCCCGATCTCAGCTCAAAATCATCCCAGACATAGATGGAGAAGGAAACACCATTATCGGTTCTACACGGTATTCCATTCTCATACCTGACCCCTGGGACAACCGGTGGAAAAGCCCCCAGAAAGCTGCCGTGTATGACCACATAGATACCAAATATCCCTCTTCCCACCTGTACATCTGGGGGACATACATACGTACAGTCCACCAAGTCCACTCTGATATTAGCCTACAAGAAAAATCTCTGAATGACCAATTACAACCACATTCGTCTCCGTTTTCCTGGTTAACTTTTCTCCAAGAAGGAATCAAGTTAGCTAACCTCTCAGGACTAACTGACCTAACCTCATGCCTCATGTGTGCCTTCTTAGGACAGACTCCCTTCGTTGCAGTCCCTTACCCCATCCCTCTCAACCTTTCAGCCTCAACTTCTTCCTTCTCCCCCATCAGGGATGTCGATCTCTACACTCCACCTGATTTTGAACAGCTACCTGTGTGCTATTCCCTAGGCCGAAACTTCCCTAGCTGTAACAGAACTATACGGGTAACCACCAATATAACAGCCCCACGAGGAACATTTTTTTGGTGTAACAGGACCTTAACAAAAACTCTCTACATCGGTCTTTCCTCATCTCTTTTATGCCTCCCAGTAACCCTAGTCCCTCGACTCACTATATATTCTTCAGCCGAATTCCAGATGCTGCAAGCTCCCCATTGCCGCACCCGACGAGCTGCCTTCCTACCCATTGCCGTTTGAGTCTCCCTTGCTGGTTCAGCACTTGCAGCAGGATTAGGGGGAGGGGCACTAGTCCACTCTCACCTGGCCATAGCCCGACTGACCTCACAACTCCAAGCAGCTATTGATGACTCTACTGAGTCTTTAGCATCACTCCAACGACAGATCACCTCAGTTGCCCAAGTTGCCTTGCAGAACCAAAGAGCCCTGGACCTGCTCACTGCTGAACGAGGAGGGACCTGTATCTTCCTACAAGAAGAGTGCTGTTACTACATCAATGAATCCGGCCTAGTAGAAACCCAAATCGAGAGCCTCCAGAAACTCAAAACTAACCTGCAGAGTCAGAAGTTCTCGGCTGAAGCCACAGCATGGTGGTCTTCCTCTATGTATACCCTCTTGTCCCCATTGCTTGGGCCCCTAGTAGCCGTTTGCCTAATCTTACTTATTGCTCCTTGCTTTCTACAGTTTATACAGCAGCGCTTTCAAGAACTGACTCGAGTCACCATCCACCAGATGCTGCTCCAACCCTGCCCTGAACGAGTGCAAGAAACAGACCTCTCCCTGAACATCCAGGCTCCTTAAGAAAAGAGACCTCTTCAGAACCCCCCGTCGACCCTTGTCAGCAGGAAGTAGCCAGAGAGACAACCGATGCCCCTGACCCCTCTTTTTCTTTTCTTTAAGGAGTCGGGAATGTTTGGAAAACTCTGCCTCTACCGTGAAAGCTCTCTCTCTCTCTCTTCCCCCCCCCACAAAGAGGCTCTCCTATCTTTACATACCGCCCTGGCCTTCCCGCCGCCGCAGCCACCTCCCGCCACTTCTGCCTTATCAGCACTCCCCAGCTCCCCTCCCGCCGCTTCTGCCTCATCAGCCCTCCCCAGTTTCCCGCCGCCCGGTTTCTGCCTCATCAGCTCTCCCCGGCTTCCCGCCGCCTGGCTTCCCGCCTAGCAGTTCAAACTGGCCAACAGTTGCCCACCACCTCAGCCCCCAACTTTTCCACTCCTCCAGCTCTTCTACCCCTATAAAACAACCCTGCCCCTCTGAGCGGGGTGGCCATTTTTCCTTTTCATCCCGGCTGGCATGCCCGGAGGCTCTTTTCTCTCAATAAAGCCTGAACTTAAGAACTTTCTTCTTGCCTGCAGTCCGGTTTTTTCCGAACGAGCTCAGTCTTCCCGCAGAGGGTAGGTCGGACAGATATAAAATATAGTTCTGTGGCTGTAAATGTTATATTTTAAAAGTCTGTAGGAAGATCAGTACAGAAATACAGTTTTTTCTTGGGAGTGATTCATTGGACAGATAAATTGGCTTGCTAGGATTATAAGAGACAGTAGTCAGGCTGTTAAGATTAGAAGGAGTGATGTCAGTGGGTCAGAAGAGAAGATTAATGAGAAGTTGGATGAGTTATTGTTGAATTTATTAAAAAATAGTAGGCTGATGAATCTTACACAATGAATCTGCTACTCCGTAGATGATGAGTAGACTGTGGGTAACCATGTGGATTCAGATTATAGAAATTTTAGAGCATCATGTCATTGGTAATAGTATAATTATTGGAATAACAGATTTTAGCATTGAAGTAATTTAGATTTTGTACATAATCTAGGCCATATATATTGGATATTGAAACTAGTAATGTGAGGCCCACTGCAACCTCACAGGCAGCAAATACTAGGAAGGCAATGGGTATTATGGATGCTAGAGTGAAATGTGTGTTTAAAGTTATAAGAGTATTTGTGATAAACATTGATAGTATTATGCCTTCTAGGCATAGCAGGGATGATATTAGGTGGGATCGATAGACTGATACTCCTAGCAATGATATGGTATATGCTAATGTTGATAGAAATAGAAGGCATTTGATAATTATGGTCTACCTTAATCTAATGAGTCAAAATCACTTATTTTGACTTACTATTCAATTCAGTCTAATTTTTCTTGGGCTTATTCACAGGTCAAGTCTAGGATTAAAATGGTCACCAGTATAAGAGCTGTACTGATTATTAGTTTTAGGTTGATTGTTTAAAGGGCTCATGGCAGAGGCAGTAGTAGAGCAATTTCTAAGTCAAAGAGTAGGAACGTGATGTCCACTAGAAAGAATTTCATGGAAAAGGCCGGGCGGGCAGAGGCTATTGGGTCAAATCTGCATTCATAGGGGTTGGATTTTTCTACACAGATATTCAATTGTGGGAGTCAAAATGCAATTATTAGTAAGAAGGCCAGTAAGGTATTGGTCACCAGGGCTAGTGTTAGGTTAATTACTCTCTTTAGGGCATTACTGAGGCTAATTGACTGAAAGTCAGTGGCAGTGTTTATACCAAAAGAGTATGACCCTCATCAATAGATAGAGACATAGAAGAATAGTCATACTACATCTACGAAGTGTCAATATCCGGCAGCAGCTTCAAAAGCAAAGTGGTTGATCTGTAAAGTGGAATTTTAATTGGTGGAGGAGGCAGATAGTGAGAAATGTTGATCCAATAATGTGACGTCCATGAAAGCCTGTGGCTATAAAGAATGTGCAGCTGTTGATCCCCTCAGAGATAGTAAAGGGGGCCTCAAAATATTCTGAGGTTTGTCAGAGGACAAAGTGATTGATAATGCTTGAAATATTTGTTTTCGATTACCTTCTGTTAAGCTGTGGTGGACTCAAATAATTGAAACTTCTGATGGGAGTAATACAGATGTATTTAAGAGGGGAACTTGTAAGGGGTTGAGGGGAAAAGTTCCTGTTGGGGGTCAATACCCTCCGAATTTTTGAGTCAGGACTAGACTAAAGAGGTAGAATGCTCAGAAGAAGCCAGCAAAAAAGAATACTTCTCAGATAATAAATAGAGTTATTCCATATTGGAGGCCTTTTTAGATGATGAATGTGTGGTGGCCTTGGAATGTACTTTCTCGGATAATGTCACGTCATCATTGGTATATTGTCAGTGTGTTGGTCAGTCAGCCTAGGGTTAAAAGGGTGATAGAGTTAAAGTGAAATCACATGGCCAGACCAGATGTTATTAGGAGGGCTGAGAGAGCTCCTGTTAGTGGTGAGAGACTGGGGTCCACTATACAGTAGGCATGTGTTTGGTACCTCATTATGTATTTTTGTGTAAGTAAAGGCTTACTAGTAGTGTAAAAACATAAGCCTGAATAAGGGTTACAGTGAATTTGAGAATGGTTAGTAGGATTAGAATAATGAAAGTGACTGAAACTGTGGGAAAACTGATGGTTGATAGTACTGTTGTGGCTTCTCCAATTAAACGCATTAGTAGGTGTCTGGCTGTAATATTGGCAGTTAATCACATATCTAGTATCATTGGTTGAATGAGCAGGCTAATAGTTTCAGTGATCCCTAACATAGGGATAAGTGGAATGGCTGTGCCTTGTGGCAGAAGGAGAGCTCAGGAAGCTTTTGTCTTAAAGCAGAAGGCTGTAATTACTGCGCCAGCTCGTAGGGGGATTGCTATCCCTAGATTTATTGATACTTGGGTAGTTGGTATAGATGAATGGGGTAGGAGCCTGAGGAGGTTGGTCAAAGCAGTAAAGAAAATTAGGGAGATCAGTATAAGGGATCAGTTTTGCCCTTTAACATTATGAATTATTTTAGTACAAGTTGGATTAGTTATTGTTGAATGGAAGTTAACCGGTTACTGATTAAATGACTAGAGGTTGGAAATAGTATGGTGGGGAATAAAATGATTAATATTACTGTGGGTAGGCTTAGAATTTTGGGGATAATAAAAGAGGTGAATAGATTCTTTTTTGTTCATTTTAATTCTCAGGGGGTTTATGTTTTTGCATTTTTATTGTGTTTGGTGCAGGAGGTATGTAATAAATGAAATTTGGTAATTTACTGAATAATGAAAAATAAAGTTACAATTATTGGCAGGATGACAGTGGCTCATGTGGAAGCATCTAGTTGAGGCATTCACTGCAAAGAGTTGCAGATCCCCTCAGCCTTTAACTTAAAAGGTATCTAATGCTAGATTAGCTTAATAGTGATGTTATAGTGTAGACGTGGATCAGGTTTCACCCCATTCTCAGGGAGTGAATTCTAGAACAGTAAGTATAAAACTGGTTAAATCCACAAATTTTTGAGTATTGTCCATAGTAAAGGCCTGGTTGTATGGCGGTTAAGGTAGTTTGATTTAAGCGTCCAGGGACTGCATCTGTTTTGAGGCCTAATGAGGAGATAGTTCATGAGTGCAGGACATTTCAGATGAGATTAATATGTGGAAAGGGATTTCTAATGAGAGGATTGTTAGGTTATCAACTTCGATGAGTTGAAGTTCTCCTGGCTTGAAGTCTGCTGTTGGAATTATGTAAGTATCGAAGCCTAACTCTTCGTAGTCAGTGTACTCATGACTTCAATATCGTTGGTGGCCAATTGCTTTGACAGTGAGAGAAGAGTTGTCAATCTCATCAGTTATGTACAGAATATGTAGATATGGAAGGGCAAGTAAAATTAGGGTAATGGCGGGAAAAATAGTTTATACAGTCTCAATTTCTTGGCATTGATGTGCTAGTATGAGTTTTGTTGTCAGTATCAGGGAGATAATATGTAGGACCAGGGAACTAATTACGAAAATAAGTATAAGAGCATAGTCATAGAAGATCAGTAGTTCTACAGTAGGGGATGTAGCATGTTGAAGACCTAATTGAATTGGATGAGCCATTAAAACATATAGAATTTAACCTATAAATTAACCTTGACAAAGCTATGTAATAATTTGACTAGTATCTTCTCGAGAGAGTCATAGAGGTTATGGAATTGGCTTGAAATCAGTTTCTGGGGCTTTGATTCCTTTCGTGTTTAGGCTTTCATGTGGGTTAGCTCCTCAAATATGTGGTAAGGTGATGGGCAGCCGTAAAGCCACTCTAAATAAGTGGATGGCTGTTCAATTGTTAGTACTTCTCATTCTGAAGCAAAGACTTCTCAGATTATAAAGATTATTAGTGTAACTGCTGTTCGTGAGATAAATGAGCTTACAGATGAGATATTTCACACAGCGTATGCATCAGGGTAATTGGAGTAATGTTGAATCATACCGTATAGGCTGAGGAAATGCTGTAGAAAGAACGTTAAATTAACACCTATGAAATGGTGAAGTGGATTTTAGCATATATCTGATTAAGTATATAGCCTGAAAATAGAGGGAATCAGTAGATAAAGCCTTCTATGATTGTAAACACTGCTGCTATTGATAGGATGTAGTGGAAATGGGCTACAAGATAATACGTGTCATGTAAGATAATGTCTAGTGATGAGTTAGCTAATACGATGCCCATTAAACTCCCTACGGTGAAAAGGAAAATGAATACCAGGGCTCAGAATGTTGTAGGGGATCATTCGATGTTACCACCACGCAGGGTAGCTAATGAGCTAAAGACCTTAACGCCAGTGGGAATAGCAATAATTATGGTAGCAGATGTCAAGTATACTTGTGTGTCTGCGTCTGTCCCTGCTGTAAATATATGATGAGCCCATATGATAAACCCTAAGAAGCCAACTGATACCATGGCTCATACTATACCCATGTAACCAAATGGTTCTTGTTTTCCAGAATAGTATGTTACAATATGAGTGATTATTCCGAAGCCTGGCAGGATAAGGATATAGACTTCAGGGTGACCAAAAAAATCAGAATAAATGCTGGTACAAGATAGGGTCACCCCCGCCAGCAGAGGCAAACAAATTAGTGTTGAGGTTAAGGTCAGTTAGTAGCATAGTAATGCTGGTGGCTAGGACAGGGAGGGAAAGGAGGAGAAGGACTGCCGTAATGAGGACTGATCAGGGAAAAAGTGATGTTTGATATTGGGACATAGCTGTGGGGTTTATGTTAATAATTATGGTAATAAAGTTAATGGCTCCTAAAATAGAGGAGAGGCCTACCAAGTGGAGCAAGAAGATGGTTATATCCACAGAGACTCCTGCATGCGCTAGGTTTCCTGCTAAAGCAGGGGGAGATAAACTGTTAACCGGTTCCAGCACCTGCCTCTACTATTAAGGATACAAGTAGGAGCAGAGAGAATGGGGGGAGAAGTCAGAAGCTTATATTATTTATTCGAGGGGTATGCCATGTCAGGCATACCAGTTATTAGAGGGACAAGCCAGTTGCCAAAACCCCCATTTATAATTGGTATTACTATGAAGAAGATTATAACAAATTCATGGGCAGTAACAATAACAATGGAGATCTGATCATCTTCTAGCAGAGTCCCTGGCTGGCCTAGTTCTGCTCAAATTAGGAGGCTCAAAGCGGTGCCTACCATCCCTGCTCATGCACCGAATGGCAGATATAGATAGGGTTCCCTTGTCTTTGTGGTTGGTTGATGAATCATGGGTGTGGAGGTGGGGGGGGGGGCGTAAAATGGCTGAGCAAGCATTAGAATGTAAATCTAAAGACAGAGGTCGAGGCCTCTTTTTACCAGCCCTGAGGTGATATTTCTTATTGAATTGCAAATTCAAAGGAGCAGCTTCAATCCTGCGTGGGCTTCTCCAGCCCTTCTCCCCCAGCAGCAGGAGAAGAAGATTGTAGCCAGTTGATTAGGGTATTTAGCTGTTAACTAAATTTTTGGGTGTTTGAATCCTACCAATCTACTAAGGGCTTGGCTTAGTTAAAATGGTTGATTTGCATTCAATTGATGCAGAATAGAGTCTTGCAGTCTTTAAGTCTGTTACAGAAATTAAGTATAATCTAAACACTAAGGGCTTTGAAGGCTTTTGGTTTTATTTAACCTAAATTTCTAAGTCATAGTTAATATTAATGGAGAGATGGGTAAGAGGAGGGTAGAAGAGATGACAAGTGGGGTTAAGTAGTATGGGTCTCGTGTTTTTGAATTGTCATTTTATTTTCATGTTATTAGATATGGGGAACAGTGTTAATGAGATGGAGTAAATTAGGTGTATGTAAAGTATAGGTTGAGTAGCATTATGATAGCTATAATGGTTGGGGTGATAAGGCAATTTTTTTGGTATACTCTTGGATGATAATTCATTTAGGCAGGAATCTTGTTAATGGGGGTAGGCCTCCCAGGGACAGTAGATTAGTGGAATTATAGGTATTAATCATATTAATTTGTTTCAGGCATGGGATAGCAATAGGGTTCTGGTGCTTATACTCATCCTGAGTGTTAGAAATGTGGTTGTCATTAGAATAAGGTAAATAATCAGGTTTAGAGTGGTAATGTTTGGGTTACAAATTAGTACTGCTATTATTCAACCTATGTCAGTGATTGGGGAGTAAGCTAGGATTTTATGTAGTTATATTTGATGAAGTCCTCCTTAACCACCCATTATAATGTATAAAATTGTGACAGAGAGGATATTTGGGTTTGTTGATGGGAAGATTTGAAATATAATTGAGATAGGGGGTAGTTTTTGTCATGTGAAGTGGAGTATTCCAGACATTATAGAGATCCCTTGTGTTCCTTCTTAGACTCAGAAGCGAAAGGGGGCTATTCCTAGTTTTATTATTAAAGCCACTGTTATTATTAAAGATGAGAATTGATTGATAATATTTATTATTGTTCATTGTCCTAAGGATAGGTTATTGGAAGGGATGCCTATCATGAGAATTATAGATGCAGTTGCTTGTGTAAGAATGTACTTGGTAGCTGCCTCTGTAGAGTGGTAATTAATTTTTTTCAATAAGATTGGGATAAGGGCTAGTATGTTTATTTCCAGGCCTGTTCAGATAAGGAATCAGTGTGAGCTTAGCATTGTGATAGGAGTTTCTGTGAAGATAGTAAGGGCAATGTTGGAAACAGATGTGGCTAGTATAAATAGGAGACCTCTATTAAAATTAATTAGAGGGTCTGGTGTAGGGAGGGGGGTTTGTAAGAGAAGGGTGATAGAGAAGGCTAGGGTTGGAGCAATAATATACAGGGTAATAGTGGATGTTAAGGACCGCAAGGGTTCTTTGCTGAAAAGTTCTGTTGCATCAGTGAATGGTTGAAGCAGTCCGTAGGGACCTACAATGTTGGGTTCTTTGTGTAGTTGTATATAGCCTAAGATTTTTTGTTTGATGAGTGTAGGGAATGCTGTAGCGATAAGACTAGGGGCAATAAGCAGGAGAAGATTAATAATAGACATGTTTTTAAGAGGAGGATTTGAACCCCTGTTTATAAAGTTTTATATTTCATGCAATTGCTGGGCTGTGCCATCTTAGCAAACCCTGTTCTTGGGTAGGGTATTGTGATGATTTATTAGATTGACATTGTGTCATCTGTGGAGCCAGTGCGCTTTGTGGAGTGGGCCCTATTTTTCTTGTCCTTTCGTACTAAGAGAATGCTAAATAGATAGAAACCAACCTGGATTACCCCTATCTGAACTCAGATCAAGTAGGACTTTAATCGTTGAACAAATGAGCCATTAATAGCGGCTACATCATTAGGATGTCCTGATCCAACATTGAGGTCGTACACTCTTTTGTTGATATGGTCTCTAGAATAGGATTGCACTGTTATTCCTAGTGATCAAATTATTGTGTCAATAAATAATAGCTCACTTAACTAGTACAGTTTTAGTTTAGGTCATTTTGCAGGTTGAATTATGCTCTGAGGTCTCCCCAACCAAAAATTTTAATGCAGGGATAATATGCTAGGGCCTGTAGGTTTGAGTTTTTATTTGCATTAATTATTAATGCTTCATAGGGTCTTCTCATTTATTTATATCTGCCTCTTCATGGATGGGTCAGTTTCACTGATGGAAAGTAAGAGAGAGCTGAACCCTTGTGTGGCCATTTATACAAGTCTCTATTAAGGGAACAGGTGATTATGTTACCTTTGCATGGTCAGGTACTGTGGCCATTAAACATTTGTCACTGGGCAGGCAGTCCCTCTAATACCAGTAATGCTAGAGGTGATGTTTTTGGTAAACAGGTGGGGTAAGATTTGCCAGGTTGCTTTTACTTTTTGTAATCTTTCCTTAGAGCATGCCTGTGTTAACAGTGAAGGTAATAAGATGTTTATTAAATCATTTATTAATATTGGCCTGTTAACTGTCAGTGGGTTATTCCAGTCTGATGTAAGCTTATGCAATAGAGAATGTTTTTGTGTTATTTATATTAACACTATTGCTTCTATCTATTGAGTAATAGATTAGTCCAATGTGATGTTAGGAGTTAGGGTGATTAGATTAAAGATAGTTAGATGTTGAGCTTAAATGCTTTCTTGATTGGTGGCTGCTTTTGGGCCAACTGTGGTGATGGCATTTTTTACTCTCTGGGGGAAGATTGTTTCCTAGAGTCTAAAGAGCTGTCCCTCTTTAACAGTTAAACTTACAGGCAGATTAAGTAGTTCTGTGGAAGTTTAAAGTTGAACTAAGACTCTGTCTTGGACAACTAGCTATCACCAGGCTTGATAGGCTTGTTAATGCTACACATGAATCTTCTCACTGTTTTGCCATGCAGGTGAGTGTACTCTTTCAGCTGTTCTTGGGTAGTTCGTCTGGTTTTGGAAAACTTGACTAGAGCTCTCGGTGTGAAGTTGGTTCTAGTGAATGCATTATGCCGAAGGTACAAGGGCTTGTCTTTGCTTTTTAGTGCTTAACCCAGTTCTTTAATCTTTCCCTTACAGTACTATGTCTATTTTGACAGGATAGGAATTTCTATCCCCTATACTTTTGTCTAAGGTAAATGGTTTGATTAAGGTAGTTTTATAGTATTTTCAGCAGTTTGGAGCTAGATGTGACTCAAAGTGGTCAGGTTATGATGAAGTCGTCCAGGTGTAAGCCAGATGCTTTGGCTTAAGCAACACTTCGTTTTTTCCAAGCGCACTTTCCAGTACACTTACCATGTTATGACTTGTCTCCTCTATATATGTGTAGAAAAGTATCAGTAATAGTGATTTGTAGAGTAGTACTCGAGGAGAGTGATGGGCGGTGTGTGCTTGCTTCATGGCCTTATTCAACCAAGCACCCCATTCTTGGATTACTGCTAAATCCTCCTTAAATCTTTAGATTTCATAAAGGCTATCATGAGTTTTTCTGGGTATAGAAAATGTAGCCCATTTGTTCACATCTCATGGGCTACACCTTGATCTAACTTTGTATGTATGTACTTGTGGTTACTCTGACCTTTTTAGGGTTTGCTGAAGATGGCGGTATATAGGCTGGGGGCAAGAGGTGGTGAGGTGTACTGGAGTTTATCAGTTGTAGAACAGGCTCCTCTCGAAGGATGTAAGCACCGCCAAGTCCTTTGAATTTTAAGCTGTTGCTTGTAGTGCTTTGATGAATAGTCTTGTTAATGTGACTATTAGGGTTTAGGGCTAAGCATAGTGGAATATCTAATCCCAGCTTGGGTCTTAGCTATTGTGTCTTCAAGATATTAAAGCCACTTTTGTAGTATATTTTATTTCAGCTAGAGTTTTTTACAACTTAGATGGAAGTTAGCTTTATTGAGAGCAGACCTAAACACTCTTTACAGTGAGTTTTATTAGCCCTGGTTAATTGTATGGCTGTGGTGGTTGGCACAAAATTAACCAACCCTAAGTATTAGTATAGCTTAGTAAAACTTCTGTTTATTACTAAAAATTTACCACTGCTGTTTCCTGTGGGAGTGTGGTTGGGCAAAGTGTTTTGAGCTGCATTCCTGCATGCTTGATGCCTTCTCCTTTTGATTCGGGTGACCTAGAGGACATTCTCACTGGGGCAGGGATGCTTGCACGTGTAATCTTATTAAGTGCTAATAAAAAGGCCAGGACCAAACCTGTCTGTTTATGGGGTTGTATGGACCTATCTAGACATTTTCAGTGTCTTGCTTTAAATGGTTAAGGTACATTAAATGCATAGAATATTTAAATGGAAGTTTAAAATATGAGAAAAAAAAGAAATAAATATAGACTTTTACAGTTCTGGAAATTTAGGGTCTTCAAAGTTGAATCAACATATGTTTTGGATGAGAGAATTGTTTATAATTAGAGTATAATTGATTTAGGAGTGTGATATGTTGGGGCAGGTGCTTTCAGAGGGGAATGCTCAAAGTACTGTGTTAGCATTAGGACAGAATTTTAGTTTATTTTTATATACATAATGGAAGATTTATTTGGTTGGAGAGCTTTGCGATTTTTAGAAAATTACATTAATCGAGGGGTAGATGTTGGGGTGTTTGTGATTAAAATATGATTTTCAGGGCTTTGACTGGGTTGCATTTTAGTCTCTTGTTTTGGGGTTTGGCTCGAGTATGTTCACCAAGACTGATAATGAAGTCAGAGGTGGGGGAAGGGGAATTTGCAGATTTAATGGAAAATAGTCCCTCAATTGTATGTACATGTGTGCACATGTGTGTCTATTGATTAATTACTGTGTTTTTGAAGCATGAATTAATTAGCACC